GCCACCCCACCAGTACAGATTCTTTGGTGTGTGTGTGTTAAATATGTTGGGGGGAAATAGAGGTATTCACAGTTTTTCCACTTTTGTGGAGATTCTGCACCCCTAACACCCATGAAAGCTGAGGGCCAACTGTAGTTTGATGGATATATTCTTGTTGTTGTTGTTGTTTTGCGCCTTAAAGTCATTTATGACTTATGGCGACCCAAAGGCGGCCCTATTATGGGATTTCCTTGGCAAGATTTGTTCAGAGATTTGTCATTGCCTTCTCCTGAGGCTGAGAACATGTAACTGGCCCAAGGTCACCCTTCGGGTTTCCATGGCCAAACTGGGAATCAAAGCCTGATCTCCAGGGTATTAGTCCAATGTTCAAACCACTACACCATGCGGGCTCTTGAAGGAGACGTTTGTTGTTCTTAACTGCCCTCGATTTGATATCAACTCATGGCGACCCTATGAATGCGACATCTCCATAAAGACCCACTGTTCTCCACTGCCCTGCTTAATTTCTGCAACCCTTTAATACCCGAGACCTCCTTAATAGAGTCCATCCATCTGGCATGTGGCCTTCCTCTCTTCCTACTTCCCTCCGCTTTCCCCAGCATTATTGTCTTTTCCAAAGAGTCCTTCTTGTGATGTGTCCAAAATACGACAGTCTCAGTTTGGTAATCATTAGTTTCGAGGGAGGTTTCCATCTTGATCTGCTCTAGAACCCATTTATTTGTCCTTTTGGCTGTCCATGGGATCCTCAGCACTCTTCTCCAGCACCACATTATCTCAAAGGAATTGATTTTCTTCCTATCATCTTTCTTGACTGTCCAGTTCTCACATCCATACATGGAAATAGGGAATAGGGAATGGCTTGTATGATTCTAACTTTTGTGCCGAGTTGTATATCTTTGCATTTTAGTATCTTTTCTAGTTCTTTCAGAGCTACCCTCCCCATTCTTAGTCTTCTTCTGAAGGAGATATTACTGTACTTTAAAAAAAATTGAGAACAAGATTTCATGGGATTCAATTAAAGCAGTTCTTCAGGGGGAATATTTGAAACTGTATACATATTTTAAGAAAAGTATAGAGTTGACCAAAGCTAAATTAATAAGCGAGATTAAGAGCTTGGAAGAGAATTCCAAAATTTCATACAATCAAGTAACAAGCGGCACCTGATGGAATTCCCTCTTCTATACAACGGCATTGGAAGTACTGTTTTACATGTTCCATGACTATAGTTCACGTGACCCAGCAGTCCAAAGAGTTACTGTATTATCAAGATGATAAGACAAAAGAAAAATAGGCTACTATAAGCACCCATGTTTCCTCACATTCAGCTACACAAAAGGAAGAGTTTAATTAATCTCACGTTTCATTGTGCTTTGGGGAACAATTCAGTGGGTCTGAAGCAGAGGAGATAAAGGGAAATAGTAGGCTTCTCTTTGAAAAGGGCTCAGGGCATTTTGGTGTCTTGGTAGAAAGTCCAGGAGATGTGACTCCAGGAACAATATACAGTTGGCCCTCTGTATTCATGGATTTTTAATCTATGGATTCAAACATCCATGGCTTGAAAATACACAAACATAATAATTCCAAAGGCAAAGCTTGATTTTGCCATTTTATATAAGGGACACCATTTCTATGTCACTGTATTAATGGGTTGTGAGCATCCAATGATTTTGGTATCCATGGGGGGTCCTGGAACCAAATCCCAGCAGATACCAAGGGACCACTGTAGTTCTAGACAAAATCTGCTGATTTATAACATCTCTCTCATGTGATTGATAGAAGCCAGCCTTCTATCAATCTTTCCATCGATAGAAGCCAACCTTTCCTTTCCTTTAGGACCAAGGGTAGTGCCATTACATAAAATCTTCAGGAACTGTTAGGAAACATTTTGTATGCTGTTGGAGAATAAAACACAGATTTTTTGTCGTCGTCCCCCCCCCCCCCCCCCCCGCATGGTATTTTCAAAAATATATTTGTCACCTGGTTTTTACATTCCCAGACTGGCTTTTAATTCAACAGCCAAGGGCTTTAGGCTACATACCAGAACATGACCTTATCTGTAAAAAATCAAATTTGAAGGCACATTATCTGTCTGCCCTATGTAAAGAAATGCCAAGTGACTAATAAATGACCCTTGTTTGGGGTCTTAATGTGTCCCATTCAAAACCTTGCACAAAAGGAACACTATCTAACGGAAGGAAATTAGAGCGCGGAGGCAACAGGCAGCGAGGGAAGGCCACATAGTCCAGCAAAGCAGTTTTATATCCTGTTTGTAGCTTATATCCTGTTTGCCTGGGCCTGCTGAAGGCAAAGCAGTACATCAGCAAGAAGGGGACAGCATTAAAATGGTTTATATATGTTCCAACTGTCCATAATGATCAAGGACCGTGTTTCTTTTTCCTGTTGTTTATCCCTGGTAAAACACACCCTTTATTTTGTACAGGAGATTTTAAAAAATCCTTTTCAAAACAGTGTTAAGAGGGGTACACACATGCACTAATGTTCTTCCAATTTTAGCCCAGAGAGGTGGGGAACATGTGGCTTGCAAAGTCTGGCAATTCAAGTTTTTATTGGACTAAAGGTTTATTCAGACAGTGAAAATAATCCAGGTAGAATCCGTGTTGTTGTGGTTGTGGTTGTTGTTGTTATATTTATTTGTATCACACTCTTTCCCCAGAATTGGGACCCAGAGTGGCTCGTAATATTAAAAGAACAGTACAATTAAAAACATAGAAAACTGGTACATTAAAATAGAATTAAATTGTTATGTATCATGTGTGTTAAAAACAAAAATAAGGATATGGATATACAAATATGTAAATAAACTGACAGATGTTAGGTAACTGTAGGTAACTTTTTTGTAAAAATACATGTATAAAAAGAGAAAGAAGGAAAATGTATCTAATAGTTTATGATGCAATCTGCGATATATTTAGTCTGACAATAATGTGAGTTATAAGAATAACAACAGCAGAATTAGAGAAGAGAATGTATTTATTAATAGTAGTATGTTAAAGAAGTGCTAATAGCTACCTTTTGGGATTTTGGAAGTCTTGTTTTAATGGATGTGATGTCTTTGTGTTTTGTACTTATATGTATATAGGTATGTATGTTTATTTGTTTGTAGTGATTTACAGTTTCTTTTAAATTGATGACAATAAAGACTAAATAGATTGCTTATTAAAAGAATAAGAGGGTTGCATCTTTGTTGTTCACATGCATTTCAAATTCATCCGATTAAGTTTTTTGGAGGGCTGCCAAAAAGCCCACTTAACCAGGAAAATCAATCTTGGGTATTTTTCTAATTTTTTTTTCTAAAATATTCACATAATTGGCTGTGTGAATAACTAATATGAATAGACCCAGGATAAAACTCTGCATGCCTTGAGCATGTTTCGAATACATCTGCATCATCAACTCCATCTTTATTCGAGTGCTGGCATGCATTTTCCATGGCCAAACAGGGATTTGAACCCTGGTCTCCAGAGTCGTAGTCCAACACTCAAACC